TGATGACCAGAAGAATGGAGATCTGGTTCTCGAGGATAAGAGCGTGAAGTTAACGATGAGTTTTGACAACAATTTGTTTGATTATGTGATCGAAGAGCACAAGACTAATGACACGGCTTTAGAGCACGTTTGGGGCAAAAGTGTGAATCGAGTGACACTTATATCCAAACAACACTCACTCGAAGGCAAATATTCTGTTGTTTTCAAAATTTGAATTCAATTACAATTATAACACAATTGAATGAAAATTATTAATATAATATAACTTTCTATATTTATTGATGAATATAAATACTTTTAAAAATTGTTACAATAGATATGATATTATAATAACCAAATAAGATTATATCAATATCTATTAATACTTTCTTGTATCAATTAATGAATATAATTTGTAACCATTAATTTAATTAATTTAGTTAATAAAGTAAAACTCAAAAGTAATGTACTGGCTTCTAGAAAATTTAGAATTTCGTTACAAATATTTTAGTTTTATGAATTGATAATAATAATTGTAATTCTTTATGTATTTTTCCTATATTCACCGAGAGATCAATTTCTATTAATTATTGTGATAATACAATGTTTGTAACATTCATCCAATTATACTCTCATATTTCTTCTCATTATGTCATTTAAATATAACATTATTATTATTTTTTGAATATAAAGTGTACAATAATAGTGTTAAATATCATAATGATTAGAATATTTCTGCTATGAATTATACAGGAATTTATTCGTAAAGTTATTAAAAAATATATTAAACATTATTAATTATATAAAATACAGTTGCAGTTATCAATAAAGTACAGAGGTATAAGTACCGGTACTTTGTAAAAGTGGAGGTTTACAAAATTATTGATTAAGCTATTATCGTATCGTATGGCTAATTAATAGTTACCCGGTTAATTAACCAAAATATATTTATTAAAAGCTGATTTACTGATTTCACTCTCGAGTACAACCAAAGTGTACATTAATCCTTAAAAATTTAATTTAAACTATTATTGTTAATAATAATTGATTATTTTGATATTTATTTAAACAGCTTTTAACTTCACATTAAACTCAATGTCAAACCCTAAACGGGAACTCTATCAGTATATATAAAATTAAATTTCAAAATAATAAGTTAAATAAGAAAATATTAAATCCATTTGACTTAAAATATCTGAATTGATAATGAAAGGCTTAATACAGATTTCGTTAACATTCACTATATTTATATGTTATGTGAGTTCAGAGAAAAGACATGACAGAGACTTCTTGTATAAAGAATTCAAAGACAAAACCAAAAGTTTAGACGATATAATCGACTGGAGAAATAAATTAATACAAGATTTTAACCAAAATCTCCAAAAACTACCCGAAAGTGTAAAGAAAATATTCATTGAAAGAGCAAATAATGTGTCAAAGACTGTATGGGAACCACTGTTGGCAATGGAGTTCTTGGAGTTCAAAATCGATGGCAATCGTAATCATTACGAGGATAAAAATTTTAAACGAAGAGAGAAATTAATGGATTTGGTTTTGGGAGAGTTGTTAACCGACAACAAGACATATGTCGAGCAAATAGCAAATGGTTTGTGGCTTATACTGGAGGAGAGCACCTGGACGTGGCCGGCACACCTGTCCATGCAAAAGGCCGGGGAAGGTATGCCCGACCCCTCACAGTGGGTCATAGATCTCGGGGCTGGCGAGTCATCAGCTTACGTGGCCTGGATTAGATTGCTTCTTGGTAAAACTTAATTCGTTTTAAAAATAAATGAATGTTTATAATTAATATTTACTTTCAATTTAGGCGATAAACTCACAAAACTCTCGCCAATGTTTGTAAAGCGTATGGACTATGAGTTGGACAGACGTATTGTCGAGACATATATGAACAATGACTTCAAGAATTGGATGGGTTTTGAGGGCCAGAAAGTGAACAATTGGAACATTTGGATCAATACTAATATATTGATGACTAGTCTTCTCACTGTAAACGACACCAAAAGACTAGAT